TGAGGATCAAAATGTCGCAGTATACGAGGTGACGTAAGAAAGTGGCGGAGTGTGGCAAATGCATCATCACAAGCTGACGACCAACTAGAAAGGTCGTTGTTGCCGCCAAGAAGGTCAGTCAAGGGCGATATGATGGAGGCGAAGTTGCGAATAAAACGACGAAAATTGAACATAAACCGAGGAAGCTGCGAAGTTCTTTTAAGGTCTTCGGTTTAGGAAATTCGGCAACGGCACGGCGTTTCGTCGGATCCGGAAGAATACCATCTCTAGATACAACATGGCCCAAAATTAGGAGTTTTCGAGCGCCGAAGCAGCACTTCTTCAAGTTGAGCTGTAGACCGGCGGAGGTGAAGCAAGTAAGCACTGTCTCGAGCCGCTGAAGATGCGTTGAAAAGTCGCTTGAAAATATCACGACATCGTCTAAATAACACAGACATGTCTGCCATTTCAGGCCACGGAGGATGTTGTCGATCATGCGCTCGAAAGTGGGAGGCGCATTGCAGAGCCTAAATGGCATGACGTTAAATTCGTATAAGCCATCAGAGGTAACAAAAGCCGTCTTGGGGCGATCAGCCTCAGCCATGGGAACCTGCCAATAACCTGAACGCAGATCTAGTGACGAGAAGAACTCCACGCCTTGTAAGCAGTCAAGGGCATCGTCTATGTGGGGTAGCGGGTAAACATCTTTGCGTGTGATCTTATTCAACCGGCGGTAGTCGACGCAGAATCTTATTGAGCCATCCTTTTTCCTAACTAGAACAACTGGGGATGCCCACGGGCTGTTAGAGGGCTCAATAACACCTCGCTTCAACATGTCGTCATCTTGTTCCGCGATTATGCGACGCTCAGATGCCGATACCCGATACGGACGCTGACGTAAAGGAGCGTGAAGGCCAGTGTCAATTTCGTGAGATACTGTGGAAGCACGGCCCAAAGTCAGTTGCTGATGGTCGAAGCTGGCACGGAAGCGCTCGAGGAGGGCGATGATGTCGGTGCGCTGTTGGGCCGTAAGGTCGGTGTCGATGCAGCGCGAAATTGCGTCGGTGAATGATGGGGAAGAGGATGACGCGCAGCAATCAACAGCGTCAATAGGTAGCGTAGTCGAGTGGTCAGGAACTACACGTGCACTCGAGGGATCAATGTCATCGGCAAAGCCCAAGCACTCTCCGTACAGTAACTTGGAAGGCGAGGGAAACGGATTTGAAACACAAATTGCACTTGATGCCTCGTGAACATTCAGAACGGCTAAAGGAATCAGGAAGCACTTACGGCGAACAGCGGTTTCAGAAGGCGTAAAAAGAACAGTTGAGGCACTAGAGACATCACAGGAAAGCGAAACTAGGGCGGATGAGAACGGGGGTATCGAAGTGTCAGCGGCAACGAAAACTTTTGCAGGTGGAAGGGACGAGTCGAGTGAAGCAGCGAAGCATAACGGCGCGAATTCCACTTCGGCGCGAGCACAGTCGATGACGGCATGATGAGTGCAGAGAAAGTCCCAGCCTAATATAATGTCATGGGAACACTGCGGGAGCACTACAAACTCGACGACATAAATATCGTCCGCAATAGCGACACGTCCTGTGCATGCAGCAAAAGGGCGAATTCGTTGCTCGCTCGCAGTGCTCAAAACGAAGTCGTGAAGAGGCATTGTGACTTTTTTAGTCGACGGCAAAGTTTTTCAGTCATTACGGACACTGCGGCGCCAGTATCGACCAATGCAAAAACAGGTATACCTTCAACGGAGACAGCAACGACGTTGGACGGCGAAAAACAAGGTCTTGTGGAGTTCGAAAGATCCGCAGTTCTTGCCCCCGGAACGGCGGCTCCTAGTTTTCCTCAGGGACAGGGCGAGGTTGACGTAGCATAGGGGAAAGGGAACGGCGTTGAGGTGAAGGTGACCGGTGTCTGTTGAAGTTCCGGCGAGGTGAAAATGTGTCCATGGTCGCAGTCTCGCCAGAAACAGCGGGCTCTGGTCGTTGTGGGAACGCATAATTGTTGGACCTGACGTCGTCACGCAGGAAAAACTCACGCCGTCGACAAAATCGTGCCACGTGCCTCGCAATTCCACAGGTGAAGCATATGGGGCGGTTGTCTTGAGTGCGCCAAGGGTTCTGAAAGTGCGGAGGTGGTGGTCGGGAGAAAGGACGGGCAGCCTGATACATATGCTCAGTCGGTACGACAAAGGGGCGCGAGGACGTAGGCGTTCGTCACAAATAGGCGTGGCCGTTCGCGACAAGTGGACGTCGGGTTCCGTTCAGTGCTTCGGCATAGGTCAATGGAGCAGCCACAGGTGATGCGTGAGCTGCTGGTAGCGCTTCGGACACTTGCTCCTGGACTACTCGCTGTATTGATGGCGCTAAAGTAGATGGCGCACCTTCGGAGGTATAAGGCACGAGGGACAACTGGCGTGCGACCTCCTCTCGTACAAATTGCTTGATCTCGAGAAGCAAAGTGTTGTGGTCTATAGTAGTGCCAGGCGACGTTAAAGCGGAGATTGTTGCACATGGCGCGTTGGCACGACGAGTGGTGTCACGCTGTTTCCAGAGCTCATCATAGCTCTGACAAAGTTGGATCACTTCCGCTACCGTTCGCGGGCTTTTGGCGACAAGCATCTGAAATGCGTCGTCAGTCACGCCTTTCAATATGTGTTTGATCTTCTCGGCTTCTGTCATGGCCGAGTTGACACGCCGGCAAAGGTCGACCACATCTTTGATATAACTGGTGTAATTCTCACCATTCTGCTGAGTCCTAGTACGCAAGCGCTGTTCTGCCCGTAGTTTGCGAAGCGCTGGACGGCCAAACAAGTCCGTGAACGCCGTTCGGAAGGCCGACCAGGTGGGGAGGTCTCTCTCGTGATTGCGGTACCACAGACTGGCTACATCCGTCAAATAAAATTGGACGACGGTAAGCTTGTGCGCATCGTCCCACTTGTTGTGCTTGCTCACCCGGTCGTATTCGTCGAGCCAGTCTTCCACGTCTTTGTCATCGGTTCCACTGAAGGTAGGCGGATCGCGTTGCCGAAAGGAGCCGAGACAGACAGGAGCTGCAGTAGTTGGAGCCGAGGCGGCCGCCTGTTGATAGTCGTTCGTGGACATCGTAGCAACTGGAGGCAACGTACGGTTTCGCAATTCCATGATTAGGCGCTACCCAGCACTCTCCACCAATTATAATGAGGCGTTTTAGAGTGGCACTCTTTTATAAAACAGGAGAGCGGTCACGACACGTCAAGTGGTAATGGCGGAACCAGTCTGAGTACCCAGCCAACCAAACGTCGTCTTCTTCACCGACTGAGTCATACCCCCTGCCTTTCTGAGTAGCACTCATCTTCTTCACTACAATATATATATATATATATATATATATATATATATATATATATATATATATATATATATATATATATATATATATATATATGTATATATATATATATATACACATATATATATATATATATATATATATATATATATATATATATATATATATATATATATATATATATATATATATATATTCACTGTTGAATTAGTTGCGTTATCATAAGAAACTCGGGACGGAAAGAGACGGAAACACTCAAAAGCGCAGGAACGCAAGCAGTTGTGTTCACATCTTGCAGCATTTCATCGCTCTTTTCGTCTCATAGTTTTCATATTATTCACTTCATAACTGCTCGCTCAATAGCCACCATTTAAATTACAGTCACTGAAATTTCAGAGGCTCGAGTCCACTGTTATGAGTTCGCACACATGCTGAGGATATTTCGTGGCTGTTGCATCTGATATTGCAGTGTATGAATACTATGGACGTGTTTGGAGGAAGTGAGAAGTCTATCTTAGTTTGTGTTAAAAGAATAGTGGCCCACTGCAGTTGCTGAGGTTAAATATTCTAAATGAAGTTATTAAATTTGAAGCAACATTTCCTGAAGCGACATACTCACAGTTACTATATAATTTAGATGCATTAGAAAAGTGTAGCTCTTCCAGATCTATTAGTTGTGATCTTGTAGGATCCGAGTAAAATGTGCTCGCAATTCTCACTTTCGCGAAAACTGATCGGTGTGAAAGGTTCCATCTCGGCTAAGAAATTACCAAAAATTTGCAAGGGCTGCAGGTGTCTAAAAGCAAGGTCGGTAAGTACCTGGTGCGCACATGCCAGACAGAAATTAAACGAAGATTTCGCGGGTCATACAAAGATACACGCGCTCAATCGTAACTACCGCAAGCGCGCCGCACATGCGATTCTATGGGCACTCGCGAAATCAGTCCCCCTCTGGTGGCGCCGCAGCGGTGGTTCAGGAACTAGACCTGTCACACTGGTTTTGTAGCATGCGGTGGGCCGTACCCGTGCGCTCTTTCATCCAGCGGCCGTGGAAGTACACTTTACCAACGCCTCATCTACTTATATGCCTGCCGCGTGAGAATTAGAACAGCTGCCACACCCTTTTCTCCTTCATTTTCAATTGAATAAATGGATAGATTGATGTGGCTGTACCCTTTAAATTTGGCGGTGGCTAACGCTACCTAGCCATGATACTTAGTAAACCAACAATTAGTTTTATCTTTTTTTTCTTTAAATAGTGAAGTATAGAACTGGTAATTTGCAGTGAATGGTTTAATTTTCACTCGTGCCTTGGCTTTAGCCACCAATCAAATAACCTTCTTCTAGTTAAATCTACCCGCTTAAGGTCTATTTTGCCCTCCCTGTCCCTAAACCCCAGTGCTTTGAAAAACTCTACGCCATCATCCTGAACTATAGGGTGAAGCCCTTTACAGAACATTATCAAGTGTTTGGCAGTTTCTTTCTCCTCTCCACATGTACTGCATACCGTGTCTACCCCTTCGTATTTGGCCCGATATCTCTTGTTTCACAATACTCCCGTCCTGGGCTGAAACAGTAAAGAACTACCCCGAGTATTATCATATATCCTTTCTTTGGCAATAGTGTCAGTCTTGAGCGCCACTGCGCGGCGCTTGCTCAAAACTGAAGACAGGACGACTCCGGTGGGTGTTCGTATAGGTGTTCTGTGACTCCGCTGGAAACACGAGCCATTCCTCGGCATCATAATAAAGAAGGCGTTGACTCTACATATACCATCATTCCCAGCCATGGAGGAAGGACTTCTTCTCAGCCCTCCAACATCGCCCTTTAAGAAAGTTGTATAGATGGTGGCGCCACACATTCCTCTAGGTATTTGTATTGTAAGAAACTCTATGGGTTCGTTAACTTCGTTTCTGCTTCTGTTTGCATGTGCATTCGCGGTGGTTTCGCCGGCTTGGTTGTACGGCACGGCGACGCTCAACCCATGCATCATTCGTGTGTGCAGAAATGTGTGCGGAATACCTCTGCTAGCCGTCATCGTTACCAAGGCACGTACATGCTGTGACCTCTGTCCCTGCTCTACAAGCGATACTGTTGAGGCCGACGCCGCAGAATTGGGAGCATCAGCATCTAGGGAAATTTCGGTACACCGTCAGGGAAATGCGTTTGCTCCCCGACACTGTGCTGCCGCCATTCTGACCTCCAACGTTGTCCCGACGTCTCTCTTGCAGGTTTGGCGCAATTAAGCCTAGCCATTGTCGGCCAACAGATTGTTAGATCGCCGCATCAGGAATACGGTTTGGGGCGCATACAAACAGAAGGCTGCGTTTCATCGTTTGCGTCCTGCAGGTTTCGCATCCGGCATATCGACGACTCGACGACCATCAGGAAGCGCAGTGGTAGTGTGTATCGTGCTGTTTTGTTTCTACTTTGTTAAGTGAGCTGCTTTTTACACTTGTTCCGAGTGCGTTCAGTGGGCACTGCTGTTTGTTCGCGTTAGATTGTTTGTGTGTGTGTGTGTGTGCGCGCGTGCTCGCGCGTGTATTCTCGGGAAAACGTGCCGTGGGAAAAATTAGAGGCCGCTTCCGACATTGTGTGCGCGCGCCTGAAGTGCTTGCGCGACAGATGACGCACTGCGTGGCAGCGGAAGCAGCATTAATTGTTACCCAGATGTAATTGGTGTTCGCGTGTCCTACAGCCACGTTCGTTCAAAGCAGTGGTGGTCGTCGCGTTTCAACTGTACTGCTAGGCCTACGCCCTTAAGGTCGCTTCCTGGCATGTGCACGTTACTTGGAATGTGCTGCAGTACTAACAGTGCTTCGTGTCCTAGGGCCCGGTGTACTCGGCCGCTTGGTCATTGGAGTTTGGGTGCCGCCGCCATTGTTGAGTCGGTCAACCAAGATGGCGGTGTCTTGTTGTGTGTTGATTTTGTGCAGTGTCCTGCTGAGACGCGGAGTGAAGTGATCGCAGCGGCCGTGGTGTGTGTGCGTGAGGGATGAAAACGCAAGAAAGCTCACCCAGCAGAGGCAGCAAGCGGTCCATGGCGCGCTACGACGACAGCCCTCGAGGCAACCAAGACCGACGCGACCGGCGCAAGTCGCCCACCGAGCATCGGCGCAGAGTGCGCGACTCGTCGGCCGACCGGGTGCCTCCCTACGACGACTACCGGCGCAGCATGCAATATAAGGTGCTGCTGGCCACGAACTTCAGCAACAAGTACAGCGACACCGAGGTTCGCGACGAGCTGGCCACCGCTTTTCGGCGCTACGGCAACGTCACGATCAAGGTATCTCAGGAGGGCGGCGAGCGCGTCGCCTACCTGCACTTCGCGACGTACGAGGACGCCAAGTCTGCGCTGCACACCAAGAATCGCATGCCCGTCTGCGACCGGCCCCTCCAGCTGGAACCCTTGCCCCGGCACCGGCAGCGCAGCCAGAGCCCGCAGCCCGACTACCACCATCTGTCGCCTCCGGTGCCTCGCCGCATGCGGCTGGAGCACCACCGGTTGCAGCCGCCGCCGCCTCCATTGCCGCCGCCTCCGCCGCCGCCGCCCGTGCAGCCGCCGCTCGACATGCGCCCCATCGAGCGGCCCTTTCCGCCCCGCTTCCGGCGGGACGAGACCAAAAAGGAGAAGTTCCCAAACTACCTGCACCACGTGCCCCCAGAGGACGACGACAAGGCGACGCGCACGCTGTTCGTGGGCAACCTCGAGGTGCCCATCACGGAGCCCGACCTGCGTCGCATCTTTTCACGCTACGGGGTTGTCGAGGACATCGACATCAAGCGGCCGCCGCCAGGGCAGGGCAACGCGTATGCGTTCATAAAATTCGTCAACCTCGACATGGCCCACCGTGCCAAGGTGGAGATGTCGGGCCAGTATATCGGCAAGTTCCAGTGCAAGATTGGCTACGGCAAAGCCACACCGTCGACACGCATTTGGGTGGGCGGTCTGGGCTCCTGGACCTCCATGTCGGTGCTGGAGCGAGAGTTTGACCGATTTGGCCTTATCCGCAAGATTGAGTACGTAAAGGGGGACTCTCATGCCTACATCCAGTTCGACAGCATAGACGCGGCAACGTCCGCCTGTCAGCAGATGCGTGGTGCGCCCCTTGGAGGAGCCGACAAGAGGCTACGGGTGGACTTTGCCCACCCAGACCCAACAGCATATGCGGCCTACCCCGGTGCGGCGGAGCCGTTCCGCGCACCAGCAGACTATGCAGACCCCAATTGGCCGGGTAGGTATGATGACCGGCGCTGGGAGGCATCATACGTGTCTGTGCCTCCACCTCCAGGGAGCTGGCGGCCCCGAAGCCCACCAAGCCCCTCCTCTGCGTCATCAGTAAAGCGCGAGAACGGCACAGCTCAGAGTGCCACTACATTGCAGGAACTGGCATGTGGGCGCACAGTGTGGCAGGGCCTGCTGGTGCTCAAGAGCAATGCCTTTCCGGCACGCATGGTGCTCTGCACTGCCGAGCCAGCCATCACCATGCTGGGCAGCGACCAGACGCTGCGAATCACACAACGGCTGCGGCTGGATGCTGGCAAACTGGCCGAGGTGGACCGGCGGTTATCGCAGGGCCTGTGCTCCATCCTGGTGGCCCTGGGTCGTGAAAGCCAAGAGGCCAGTCACCCGGTGCTCCAGAACCTGGTCAGCTACCTCAAGCAGAAGAATGCGGCTGGTGTCATTACCGTACCCAAGGGCATTGTGTACGCTTTTCCTCCGTGTGACTTTGCCCTCAAGGTGCTGCACAGAGCTTGTCCAAACATAAAGGGCTTGGATGAGGACCACATCTTGGTGGTTGCTGCACCGAACCCGGACAAGTAGGCCCCTTCTCACCCCTCCCCCATTTTTCTCTGCTAAGCATATAAAATAAACTCGGCCATTTGTGGTGAAAGTGTTGTGTTCTCTGTGCCCCTGCACTTGGCCCCGCAGAGTGTGGTGCCGTGCAACAGTAGTGAAGCATATAAGTAGTGACGTGGTCTTTATTTACAAGAGCAGGGTCACCGGCTTGACGCAAGCACTTGCTGCAAGTCTTCAGGAAGTCCAGATACAATGGCTTGTACGTGCTGCCGAAGCTTGGCCATGGTTTGTGGCGTCACGGGTAGACTTCCCTTCTCGCCGGACACCTGTTGCATGAAAGAAAGCAGCTACAGGGGCTTGTATATATTTTAAATACACAGATCTTGCATGCACCATTCGTACGTAGTGCCACTGGCATGGTTTGCAAAATTCACCTTCACTTCCATTTTATCAATTGGCGTAGCTCTAGTGCTCAAGCAGAATCTGGCTCTTTGTGCAATTCTCATCAAAAGAGGAGTGTACATGTGAACAAGCAAATTTTCACCAATATCAGAGTGAAAAAATAATTGAGAATATCTGAAATGTGAATATTATGGGCAGATACTGTTCGATAATTGAGGTGAATGTGGTGCGTTTTCAGCATCGGTGGGACATCCTGGAACAAGCCCGATTATGCAGTAGGACCCTAGTACAATTATTCAGAAGTACTCGAAATGAGCCATGAAAGAACGAACATTTCAGTGCATTACGAGACAATAAAATGCTACTTGTGCATTTGAGTTCGATCCATAAACTCTTGGGGGGGGGGGGGGGGAGAGGAGGTATGTGGCTAGTCCAAAAGTTCCGTTTTGGCTCGGCTGTGCGTGCCATGTTGGCTGTCTGGAAGTAGACGGCAAGCATGGCAAAAGTCCTTAAAGATTGGCGGAGCAAGCTGTGCTAACAATATGTAGAGTGCCCCTAAAAAAAGCTTAATTTTTTTTTTAGCTAAGCATATCATGATACAAAACAAGCACAACATTGTTTCTGCAATGCTCAAGCAACTATTCAATAATAATGCACTCAATTGACAATTTCACAACCAAAGTTGGATTCATGATTCCATGGGCACTGGCCTTGCCAGTTAATGACATAAGCAGTTGCACAATTTTGCAGTACCTTGGTCATGTCTAAGGCAAGTTGGTTGTATGAAAGTTGTTCCTGTCATTACTGGATGAACTGGACACGAAAATAAGCTGCGCAAGCTTTGAGAAACGAAAAAAAAAAAAAAAAAACACTGCTTAAGGTTGCTTCAGTTGCCTTTTTTATTCTTGCGCAGCACCAGCCATGCTGTCATTTTGGAACAGCATTGAAAATGCTAAGAAGGGTAAGGATGACTACAAGGAAATTTATATGAATTTCTCAATAACAGTGAACGCTTCTTAGTTGTTGAAACATTACGTTTTCATCTGGTGTTTGAACCCAGGACCAACACCTTTTTGCCACCCTGTGGGGTGCCATATAATTCATTTCCAATTATTAAAGTGCAATACTGCACACGGAAACTGCTGGCCAAGCATCAAAGTAGTGCTGACACGGAACTTTACCAAACAACACATATATCAACGGCCATGATACACGCACAACAGCACAAAATCAAGTGCCTTGCGGCAGATATTAATTGGGCGAATAACCACACATGCCTTTGTGTACACACTCATGTGCTCTCAATGACACGCTTTGTGGCCCCGCTTTTCACTAAAATCAAGGCTATGACTAAATGCTATAAAAATATTTAAAAAATAATAGTTGCACAAACAACATCTCCAGTCATTGTAGGTGGTTCAATAGCTGCAAGAAAAATGCAATATTTGTGTGCCTGAGCTCCCATAAAGCTCCATTCCAGGAACCAGTCGTGATTTTCTTACAACTTGGTTTTCATGGGCCTATTGTGATGCTACTGTGCAGTGGTACTTGCGATAGCAGCAGAACAGATACCACAGTGCTGCAAAAGTGGTCGTGTCAGTACTATTGCGTGAACTCTCTCCCATTTGGATAGCTACAGTTCCAGAATGATATACCTCTGGTCAGTGCTGCACAGGGTTCTAAAGTGGTCTGTAAAGAATTGGTACCTCTGGTAAGGATAAGGTGCACTGTTTAGAGCCTTGCACTTAGGCCTCCTAGTATCCTACCCAACAAGTGATGCATTATAAAGAGGGTTTGGCTTTCCGCAACCTGCAACAGCATAGCTTAATTTTTGCTGGTCAACAGATGTAGTCTGATAAACGGGCATTACATGCTTAACATGTTAAGGAGACACTTAAGAGCAAAATGATTTTTTGTGTATTTGTAAAGCCAACACCACTCTTGCAGTGACATGATGTTTGGTAAGCGAAAAAAAAAAAACGCAGGTGCACACCACCTTGAAGATTTTGAAGCTGTCCTTTGAGTGGCTTCTAATTGATGAAAATGATTGTCATCTGTGGGTGTGTAGACCTAGCATATCAAGTTTCAGAAGCCAATGTCACCAAAAGTACGAAAAATGTACTTTGAAATTCGTTATGTCACATGTAGAGATTTTGGTGTGAAATTTAAAAACTTTGATAAAAGAGTTCTCAGAGTGCACTTGGTCAATCTACATCAATCCCTTGTTTCTCTCGCAATGTTCAGTTTGAAGCAGAAGAGCAGCGTCGTAAGCTATGTGCAAATACCAATTCTCTAGTGTCTCCCATCAGCTGCCATGTGCAGCCTTGATAAGAGTGCATCACAACACCTCTAAGCACTCGCCTCGGACACTGCAACATTATCCTAGGGAAATCTGAACAGCAGAGAAGATAGCGTGGACCATTTTCATGTTAGCAAGTCAATCCAAGCATGTCCAAAGTTTGCAGAAATGGAATTACACTGCCCCTTTCAAGAGACGCAGCTGACAAAGATATGGGAGTAAGAGAAACACGTGGAGGAAACAGCATTTCCAACACTTGATTTAATGGAAGCTCGATGAAGGAAAACATGGCCAGGGAAATGGGATATCAAACATGCCATTTTTAACAATGCACATTTGCTCGGCGACTTCTATAATAGCCTAATACTAAAAGCAAGCATAATTGGATGCCCCGCCGCGGTGGTCTAGTGGCTAAGGTACTCGGCTGCTGACCCGCAGGTCCTGGGATCGAATCTTGGCAGCATTTCCGATGAAGGAAAAAGTGCTGTGGGCCGGTGTGCTCAGGTTTGGGTGCATATTGAAGAATTCCAGGTGGTCAAAATTTTCGGAGCCCTCCACTACGGCGTATCACATAATGATAGGGTGGTTTCGGGACGTTAAACCCCACATATAAATCAATCAAGAATGGTTGAAGAGGTGCTACTTGGGTTGTGTCTTTCCCTACCGGACCGAAATTGCAGTTTTTCGTAAACAGCTTATTCAGTGCTCACCTAAAAGGACCAGCAACAAAATTTCAAATGATGAGTTCAATGTTCAAATAAAGGTATCCTTAGAATCGACTGTCCGAACAACAGCGAGGACAGAAATGAGATCAAATTGCTCACCAGTTTATCTTTTAGCCTCAAAACCAGATCAACAACTTCCACTTCCTCCTTGTCTCTTGCCCAGAGAAGCAAATCCTGTGGAGGAATAGCTAGTGAGGTACAAGCCATTGAATGGTGCAAGCACAGCAATGAACCATGCTTTAAAACACGTGTTTTAGTAGAGATGATTGTTAATAGTCAACAAATGTCGCTGCTCTTTAGTTGGCAGAGCAGGAAAATTAAATGAAATGATGCAACTAGCAGCGGCATTATCACTGGTGTAGCCTACACAATCCAACCAACCCAATAATATTTCCACACCCTCCATGGTCTTTGTGCGGCTTGACAAGATGCCTTTGCTCTTTCTAATGGTGGCAGCTGCATATAAGCACTATACCGTTGTCGAAGGTACAAAAAAAAAAAAACCAAATGCAAAACAATGCTCGTGTCCAAACTTAGATAGCTCCTCTTGCAACTACTTAGTAGTACCTCTCAAGAATGAATTGTTATACAACTCTATCCGTGAATTTTTAGTTTCTTTAGAAACCTGCCCTTCTTGGAGAGAATATGTTTTACCAGTCACCAGTTCTACAAAGCTGACTGTCGTATTAGCCTAATACATCTAGGGATGCTGCATAAAGGTTGTAGGAAGAAAATGAATTATTTTTATGAAGGGATTGCTTTTACAAAAACATATTCTAATACACCTCTGCCTGTTCGTAAACATTGTGACGTCATTGCGAGCACCCCACCCACCATTCCCTCCCTCGGAGCGGGTGCTGGTTGGCAAGAAAGTTCTGCTTGCGGAATATTTTTGCATAGCACTTCATGTGTTTGCATAATTCGGCAGACATTTCTGCGAATTTCCCTAAGATCACAGCTCTTAAAAGGAAAGGTCACTGCCTATAATGCACGATTCTGCTAGGTTAACATGTGGCGATCTGCTCGTCGTAGATGGCAGCCATTAAAAATTCTTTCTCTTCGAAAGTGTGCGTTCTTCATGTTAATGGTGACGAACGCATTGAGAAATAGTTGCATGGCGTGGATGTAAACATACTCAATTTTGTCCCGACATATGCACTGCAGTTTTAAACAAGGTACAGCATTGGCGGCAGCATGGTTTCGAGTTGCAGTGTTACGGATAAGGTTCTCACTCTCCGTGCAAAATTCTAATCGGCGATTAATGAAAAAAAGTGAAAAAAAACGCACAAGAAAACACTTTTTGCCATGCGTTAGGCTGAGGGTAACAAACCCTCAAGAAAATTAAAGCAAAGTTCTCGCCAACTTGCCTCATAATCCGCTAAACATTTATGGGAGTGTGAACCCAATAACTTGAAGAGATAGTGACGTGCAATTTTCCACTTAGGTTTTTTTTTCTGCATAAAATGATAGTCCAAGTCCATGAGAGGGAAAAAATAATACCAGTAAGCGTGAGTGCACCCTGAAATATTAATTATAGCATGCTTTTAATAGCTAGTTTCGGTTCATACTGTACCCGACGTCACGATGAATGGATGCTATGAGCGTCCCTTTTATAACGGGGCGGTGATATGTGTGCCACCATGTTGCAAGAAAAAAATAAAACTTTCC